CTGCAGGTGGGAGCTGCCACTAAGGATGGACCAGAGAAGTGGAGGAGCCTGAGATGGAACCAGAGGGACCGTGTGGAGGAGAGATGGAAAATGAAATATCCAGACAAAGGAAGGAGGTTGCAATGTAAGATCGGGCTTGGCAGTGTAAGAAAGGGAAGAGACAAAAGCAGTCTCCCAGCAAAACGCTGGAATTTAACTTTCCCAGCTGCAGAGAGAAAACAATGACTTCCCACACAAAACTAGTTGATGGGCTGTGCTGATGAGGAGATGTCTGAGGAATTTCAATTAAAAGCCAGCGACACTGACGAAGGTGATGGGATTGAAGTGTTGGGAGGTAAGTGAGCGATGGGGAGGGAAGAACAATCGCTGGCGAGGGAGGGAACGGAGCCTGCTCAGCACTGCGTGGGCTGGGCCCTTCCCAAGGTGGCAGAGCTGTGCCTGGCAGGGTGCTGGGGTCCAACTCCTGTTCACCCTTCCCTGCCTCCCTGGCTCTGCTCCGTGGGGCTCTGCTGGCTGCAGCAGACCTGTCCCCTCTGTCTGACATCTCCGATGGGTGTCCGCTCATCTGCAACATGAAATCAAGCTCTCTGTGTTCTTGAGTCAGCCCTGTGAGCTTGGTGTCACCTTTGTCCCCAGCTGCCCTCCTGCACCTCCCATCCAGGTGATGCCCACTGCCCTCAGGCCCTTCCTCTTCAGCCACTCTGGAGCCAGAGCTGTGTGTGCCCTTGGCAAAGGACCTGGAGCTGAACAGAGTGGGAAGAGCTGGCAGAGTTACATGTGATTAGGGGAGTCACAGAATTGTTCGGGCTGGAAAAGCCCTCTAAGATCATCGAGTCCAACCATCCCCCAGCACTGCCAAGGCCACCACTAACCCATGTCCCCAGGTGCCGCATCCACAAGGCTTTTAAATCCCTCCAGGGTTGGGGACTCCACCCCTGCCCTGGGCAGCTGTGCCAGGGCTGGACAGTCCTTTCTGTGAAGGAATTTTCCCAATATCCAACCTCAACCTCCCCTGGCACAACCTGAGGCCATTTCCTCTCCTCCTGTCCCTTGTTCCCTGGGAGCAGAGCCCAAATCCCCCGGCTCCCCCCTCCTGTCAGGGAGTTGCAGAGCCAGAAGGTCCCCCCTGAGCCTCCTTTTCTCCAGGCTGAGCCCCCCCAGCTCCCTCAGCTGCTCCTGCTGCTCCAGCCCCTTCCCAGCTCCATTCCCTTCCCTGGACACGCTCCCACCCCTCAATATCTTTCTTTTTGTGAGGGGCCCAAAACTGACCCCAGGATTCAAGATTAAGCCTCACCAGTGCCCAGCACAGGGGGACAGAGAAGCCCCCTGACCTTTGGCTGGTGGCACTGCAGTAGGTGACAGCAGAGGCACAACGAGGAGCACATGGAAAGAGCCTGCACCATCCTTCTTGCAGCCACCAGGCAAGGAAGATGAATATCTTCCAAGCTGGCGCAGCTGACATCGTGTCTGATGGGAATAGCTCGTTCTTGCAGCCTGCCTGCTGGAGAGACGGCTCCGCTCCATCCGAGCTGGCACCAGGAGCTGGGACCAGGAGGAGAGGAATGGCTCCATCCTGACCAGGAGCAGGGGCTGGAGCAGCTGAGGGAGCGCGGGGGCAGCTGCAGCACGAGCCAGCGATGGAACAACCCGGACCAGCAGGAGGAGGGAGAGGTGGCCTCGCACCGAAATATCTCACTTGGCTCTGAGCGCGGCGCGGAACTTCTGGCACGCAGAACCCTGCGGAGCTCCGTGCCAAAGAAAACAGCCAGATTTAAACCCCCGAAGCAGAGTGTTTGTGCAGAGCAGCTGGGCAGAGCGTGGTGCTCGGGCCCAGGCGGGCTCGCTGTGTCTCCGGCCCTGTGTGGAGCTCTGTCCCCAGCGGAGGTGGCTGAGCCAAGGGCAGGGGCTGTCCCCATGGCCGTTGGCACAGGTGGCACCAGCTGCATTCACAGCCCCCCATACAGCAGCACAACCGCCCTCTTGGCTTGACCACCCGATGTGGACGAGCTGATTTTCTACCCTTAAAAACGAATTCACAAATACGTAGATGGCTGTGAGCACCAGGCAGCCACTGGCACGGCCAGCCCCGCTCAGAGCCCTGCCAGCCCCGCTTCCCCCCGGCACGCCGTTATCTCCAGGCGTCTGTTGTTCCATTAAGCTATTTTTAGCAAATATATCCCCCTTAGTTCAGCTGCCGTTATCTGATTAGTTCCTGTAACTATATGAGGAGCAACATCTCCAGGCGTGACTGCGATTCTGAGCAGGCTGTGTCTCTGCACACGCCTTTCCTACAGGAGAGAAACTTGCTGGAGATGCCTCTCCCCGTGGTGCTCTGAGCTCTGCTGCCGCCAAAGCTGATTTTGGGGGGCCAAGGGCCACGGGGATCAGCCCTGCTGCAGCCACTGGAGCACACGACCTTTGGTACAGGCAGAATTTTCCAGGCCCGCTTGCCGGCTGCTGCCACTGATAAGGGCCCATCTCCTCCCCATCTCCTCCGGCGTTGCCCAGATGCGGCTGCGATAAGCAGCTGGCTTTGTTTGCTCCTGAGCTGTTGATGGAGATTTCCATCATCATCAGCTGGGGATGGGAGAGGGGAAAACCCTTGTGCAGCAGCAAGCCAGCCTGTGAGGGTGTGCCCTGAAGGCAAACAGAGGTGCCAGGGCTGGGTACCCCCTTCCTCTGGGCAGCTCCACCGGGAAAAGCTGCACCGTGGCCACAGCACAGGGGCTGGTTAATACCTGCAGCCCCACACCTAGTTCCAGCATTGCACTTTGCTCTGAGGCCTCAGCCTCTATTGACTGCAGCTGTCCCAGAAAATCAGATTAAAGTGCAAAACCCTGGCATCCAGTCTGCTCTGCCAGGCAGGTCTTCCATCTCCCAGCTAGATCGTCGGGATTAAGAGCACATGAAGGGAAGTGGGAAGATGAACCTCCACCGCGACAGCTTTTCCTTCATCCTCAGCTGTGTCGGAGGAGTGCTGCAGACACAGAGCTCCTCAGCATTCCCTGGAGCCTGTGACAGCCGTGGCCATGCCGGAAACTGAGGATGGGAGAAGGGGGATCCCACCCAGGAGCCATGCACATGAGCTCCTGGCCCACCTCCCTTGTCCACGGCCAAATCCACGAGAGCCCTGCTGCCTGCCCCTGCTCCTGCCCCGGGGTGCTTCAGAGCCCTTGAAAAGGGATTAACTATAGATTTTAAATGCTCCCAAAGGGAAAAGTCTCGTCCATGGCCACAGTGAGAACGACCCCTCACAGCTGCCCCTTGAGCTCTGGAGCTGCCCCCAGGCTCGCTGGGATGCTGATCCCGCTGTCACCTCCCTGTGCCAGTGTTGTCACCTATTCCATCCTCACCTGCCTGGCTTCTCACCACAGTGATTTATTTCCCAGTCCTGCTCTGCCATGCTGTCGAAGCCCCCGTTCCCAGCCAGGCCGAGGCCGTGCTACTGGAATCTGTCACAGAGCTGAAGACATTTATTCCAGCTGAGAGACCCGCCAGCGCCTCAGGTGACATTTGACAGCAGAGAGAGATGCCAAGTGTTGTTCCTTGAAACTAGTTGCTGAGACGGACCGGGGGGAACCTGGGCTCCCGTCCCCACGCCCCGCAGCCCACGCCG